GTCTAAACTGGCATAAGATTGTGTCCTAAATTGACTAGTTTCAAGGGAAGATCTCTACAAAACTCAACTCTGGTGCAGCCGACTATGGTACAGTACTGTAGCTTGGTCGCTTTCTTAAACAAAAAATCTGGAACAAGAATTAAAAGATAATGTGTATGGAACTTGGCTACATTTGACTTCCTTTCTATATAAAAACTGACTTGCAGGCCAGTTCTATGTATATTGACTCCAGAAATAAGTCCCATTGAATTCTGTTGATCTTACTCCCAGGAAAGGATACGCAGAGATGCTGTCTTATTGACATTTCTATTCAGAAGTAGAACTAATTCATCATTATTAACTTTCTCATACAAAAGGAAATCTATAGAGTGTTACATTTATTGTGGGAGAATATATCTTCCTTGCAAAACTATTTTGCTGCCAGCTTGATAATTGGGAGTGGTAACACATGTTAACTTCCACAAAAACTAACCCGTTGAGTTTAAATTAACTGGCTATTGTAGTATAGCTTTTACAACTCTTATGTAGCTAATGTATCAGTTATGAGATCAAAATGAGCATAATTTGACTGACTAATTTCTTTTTATTAAATAAAAACATCTAGCTTTTGTGGCTTCTATAGCTCTTTGAAGTGTTCAGTCTTTTTAATATATATTGCTGAGTATACCAACCCTGTGCCCCTTGGAACCATTTATGCATTTGTGGCCAGAGAGAGGTTAGATGTTCATTATTACTCCTTGTATGAGAGATTCTTGAGAAGTCTCTTTTTTACAAAATAGGGAAGAAATCTGTTACTTACATGTCTTAGGTATTTGTGTTTGACCTAGCAGGCCAGTTGCTGGGAGACCATCTATGTCAAACTATGTCTCTAAATTTATGGCTGTACACTTACTATGATTCGTATTTTTTTGCAAATGCATTTAACTGATCTACTTCGCTTAACTAGCTGAGGGTGGTAGAAGCTGCTGGACAGCCACAGAATAGACTAGGGTCCAGCTCTGACTTTGGAGCACCCTCTCTCCATCCAGTTCTTTCTTTGTAGACTGTGGCTCCAAAGTTGGAAGCTCAACTTCTGAGCTGGAGCTGGGGGCAGAGAGGAAGGAGAGGGTCTGGCAGAAATTCTGGCAGTGCCTCAGCCTCCTTCCTCATGAGCAAGGGTCAAAGGATGTAGGTGACTGAATGGGTCTATGTCTTTTGTGGGGCAGGAGAAGGGCAGAGGCAGGGGTGCCCTTAATCCTCCAAGTTTGGAGGGTCACGAGCAGCCTCATTGGACAGTGTCCTTAAAGATCTATCCTTATGTTAAAATTTGCAGATTTAACTATTTAATATGTATCCTGTGCTTTTTTCCAGAATATTATCTGATAGTTTAGAAGTATTTGTGCATGTATGTAGGAATTAGCCACTGCCTTTCATGTTTTTGTAATTTTAAATTGTGAAATAATGGGCTTTCAAAAGCTTCTGTACAGAATGCAGAACTTGTAAGTCACTGAGATCCTCCTCCCTTTTTTAATTGCCATTTTGTATGATTATTGAATGGCTGGTGAGGGATCTGCTTGGGAGATGCAGTGCATTAAGCGGAGAGTCATGCCTGTTCCTCTTGTCTGAACCCAGCCTTTCTTTTCTTTTTGCAAACGGTTTGTACCAGGGAAAAACTTTTGTCAGCATTAGATGGCAACCGAGTAGGAAAAATACATTTGGATTCGGACTCAGTAATAATGGGCTGCAGGATACCTGTATGCATGAAATATTGTTAGTTAGGATTTCAACAGCATTCTTAATATACAACATTTCTCTTGTTTTTTTTCACAACTGATCTATAAAGTAGAGTGATTTTGTGTGTGTGCGCACACACACGTGTGTGAATTCATTTCAGTTTCTTAGCTAGGAAACTGAGTAGCTTGTCCAGTGCTTTCTAGAGAGTTGATAGTATAGCATGGCTTGAGCCAGGTCCGATGCTGTATGTGCTGTACAGTGCATTATCCCATTTGAACACATCTGTTCACCAGCCAGTTCTGTTGAAACCAGTAAATGTTGGGAAGAGCACACCTGCAAGCCAGCAAACGCATGCAGAGATAATATTTATTTTGCTACTCCTTTTCTTTTTTGCAGGGTGTTCCGTCCACAATGGCAGCAGCGTTACCCAGGACCCTCGGAGAGTTGCAACTTTATCGCATACTGCAGAAAGCCAACCTCCTATTCTACTTCGATGCCTTCATTCAGCAGGGAGGAGACGATGTCCAGCAGTTGTGTGAGGCGGGTGAAGAGGAGTTCCTTGAGATCATGGCCCTTGTTGGCATGGCTAGCAAACCTCTTCATGTCCGAAGACTGCAGAAGGCTTTGAGAGACTGGGTCACGAATCCAGGCCTTTTTAACCAGCCTCTTACTTCCTTACCGGTCAGTAGCATTCCAATATATAAATTACCGGAAGGGTCTCCTGCTTGGTTGGGAATATCTTGCAATAGTTATGAAAGGAATAGTAATACACGGGAGCCTCACTTGAAGATTCCAAAATGTGCCGCCACCACGTGTGTTCAGAGCGTGGGTGCTGGCAAGTCCGATGGGGTGGGAAGCTTACCACTGCAGAGCGGCAGTGAACAGAGACTATGGCAAGGACACCACACTACAGAGAGTGAACACAGCCTTTCCCCAGCTGACGTTGGCTCTCCAGCCTCACCAAAGGAAAACACGGAAACCTTGGACGCGGCGGCAGCTCTGTCGGTGACCGAGTGCGTTGAGCGCATGGTTCCCACCCTCCCCAAAAGTGACTTGAATGAAGTGAAAGAACTGCTGAAAATCAATAAGAAACTGGCCAAGATGGTTGGTCACATCTTTGAGATGAGTGACGAGGACCCTCACAAAGAGGAGGAGATTAGGAAATACAGCGCAATATATGGCAGATTTGACTCCAAAAGAAAAGATGGCAAACATCTCACCCTCCATGAGGTAAAAAGATGAGAGCAAGAACTGGGTTTCTCTGCTCTTTTGAAGTCTCCCTCTCAGAGCTTTTTCCCCAGAGATCACTTATTTTGTTAGAGGAAGATTGAGAATTCCCTCTGGTGCCAGGCCAATAAGAATTCTTCTTATTTTGTTAAGTACTTTATTGTAGCAATATATTAAATACACTCACAGAACCGTATTCATATACCTTTAAATAATACTTAGAATATTATATCCAGTATTAATTAGATTGTTTATATGCCAAATTAGAATCTGCTACCCTGGAAATCAAGCAAATTAATTGGGGATCCATCTTCACCATTCAGTTCTGGGGAATATATTAAGAATGGATGCCAGGTTGCTACAAAATTATTTTTGTTTCTCCTCTAACAACACGGAAGGGACTGGTTAGTTTCTCCGCCAGTGCCAGTACCCATGTTCTGTCACGGTGTCTCTGAAAGGGGAGACCTTGGGCATTTTTTCAAGGCCTGGCAATCTCAGTTTTTCCAGCCCTTATAAGCTTTGCCAGCAATTCTTTATAATGCAACCCCTCTTTGCCCACAGTAAGTAATGAAATCAGAAACCACTGTAGTGCAATGTTCTTGAGTTGGGTGTCTAACTGAAGTTGCATTCTCTAGACTAGAATATTTACGATTCCTTTTCTAGACCTCTTTTGTGCCTTTCACAATAGATTGTTTCTTAGTTAGACCACTACTACAAATTTTGTTCAGTGCCAGCAACATGTCAAGATGTTTGGTTCTGCTCTACAGTAGGCCTGTTTTGTTAATCTAAACCAGAGGAAATGTTTGGGCTTGAACAGGATCCAACAGTTAAAACTAATCTTGACCACCCTCCAAACAGAACTGTAGCACCCCCAAAGTAAGGTCCAACTGTTCATGAACTCTGTATTGAATGCTGTGTCTGTAATTTCTCTAAAAATATTATTATTAACACCATCAAATTGTTGTTTCTTCTATTACTACTGCTACTATTTTAAAGTAGGCATTCATTTCTGTACTGCCGCCTTATAAAAATTCATGGAGCTGTACCTTGCATGGTAACTTTTATATGACTTGGTTCACATGTAACAACATCCCATTGGTTTAAAGCCAGTGGGTAGTCATGCACAAGTGGCTATACATGCACATTATTTGCTTTTACTCAACAACCTGTGATGATTAGGGGCTAAACGACCCAGCAATTAATCTTGGGTTAACCACTGGTCTATTTAGCCTTTAAACAACCCAGTGGACTGAGTTTGCACATCATACTTTTCAGCCTATGAAGGGAACCAGTTAGGAGTGGGTAATGGGTGCAGTAAAATGGGTGTGGAGTAACAATGGAGGGGGTAAGTTTTCTGCAGACAGTTTGCATGTTCTGTCCTGGTTGTGCACAACCACCTTTCCATGTGAACAACCGCTACAGAATGGCTGTTTCTGGTTAGGTCCTGTTGAACAGAGCTACAACTGAATCAGTGTGCATGTAAACTGCTGTAAACAAATCCTGCCCCAGAGTATTTTTATTTGACAAGAGCTGCAACAATTTTTCTTCAGCAAAATGCCAGAGAAAAGGTAGGAACTTGGGAATAGTTGAAATACTGTTGAAATGAGTGATCTTGAACATGAGAGCCATGTGTTAGATTGTGATTGTGATCCACGATGGCTGTAAAACTGGCAAATGTTGGTGACTTTAAAGCAGGCACAAGAAAAAGCAGGTAGTTTTAAAATTTTGCTTCAAAATGTGTTTTCAGATGACAAATGGAAACTTATCACACAAATGCTTGTTGGTGTGCTGTATTAAAATAATAATAATAATGGTCCATTGAATTAGAAAAGAGTTCAAGGTATGTTCCTGTTTTATTCTGAAATACGTGGATATAGACTCCATCGTAGAATAGTCAGGCATATGTTTCCATGGCTTCCTGCATGATACATTATCATCATCATTGAAACACCAGGAATTTGCTTCCTCTGTGGAAAAGGTGTGGCACTGGTGTTCGGAGTCATGATGAGTTATGACAAATTGATAAAGAAAAGGCTTGGCCTTTGTTGCACCTTCAAAGATTAATATGTTTAAAAGCATGGGCTTTCATAGACTACTCTCTGCTTTTGTCACATACTGGGAGAGATTGAAGGGAAGCATTGGCTTGGATTGTAAAAGCACTTGTCTTGGTGGAATTCTCATTTGATAAAGATTTATTATTTCTGTCAGGGTTTTAAATGAGAATGGAATCCTGTTGAAATGTTGGCTTCATGTGATTACATTTTTGCAGCTTGTTCTAGACTTCCACCTAAACGGGCCATCATTTTGAGATCCTTGATTGAATTTCCAGGAAATTCAAAGTCTTCACTTATGGGATTGTTCGCAGTTTATTTCAGTTCTTGATAGGAGATTTAAGGTTCAGTGGATCTGACTCAGTTGCATATGGTTACTTGACTATGTGTTATTTCATAGTCGTCACATGTTCCATGAAGCCACAACATGAACATGTTATCTTAAAAATAAAAGCCACGGTGGTATAATTTGCTACTGAGGGCAGTGTTGTAAAGTTTCTTCCACTGGCCACATCTTCTGCAGGCATCTCTGAATGAGTGTGCACACTGTTATTAGTGGAAAAAGGGTAACCTAGGCTGTGTAGGTAAAAACCAGCTAAAGTTGAAGTGGATGACGCTTAAAACAATCACATTTAAAAATCCGACTTTTGAAAAAAAAATACTTGGTGGTAGCATGCTTCTATTTCTGCTTTTATTTGGGATGTGTAAGTTTTACCTTGGCATTCCAGAATAAATGCGAAAGAGAACTGTTCAGCGATCCATTCCTATGCATACAAATCTTAACTACAGTCAATTAAAGTGCAATGAGGTGTTTTGAAAAAAAGCTTCACACTTATGGTTAACCAATTTATTTTTGAAATTAGCATAACTATCGAACCTGTTCATTATCTCTGTTTTGTTGTTGGAGTTCTAACAAAATTGGTGCTTTATGCCATAATCATGTATGTACTTGGAGTCTTTCCACTCATTTCTGAGAAACTTAACTCTGACATCTATAAGACTGTGCTATTAAGACACCAAAACTTTGTTCAACAATATTTGACTGATCCCGGGGTAGACAACTTAGGGACTTCCAGTTATTTTGGATTGTCACTATCCCTTAGCATTGGCTGTGCTGCTTGGTCCTGATGGGAGTTATAGTTGGAAATCTCTGAAGGCTGTCAAGTTGCCTACACCTGCATTGGTCAGTTGAATAAATTTCTCTTGACTGATCAGATGCCCAACCCTAGTCAAAACACTGCTGGACAGTCGTGATGCTGTAGCTACACAGAGAAACATTTGAAGGGTTGAATGGGTAGGAACCTAGCAATTTATTATTTTCATCACTAGGATTTTAACAGTGTTCTCAGCTTTAAGCAGAGAGCATAAATACGTTTTTGGCTTGTGGTAGAGTCTAATGGTTGACCTTCTGCAACACTGTGTGGGGATCTGAGGAACCATAGGATTATTTGGAGTTTCTTCCTTACTTCAGCCTCAGAAGGCAGAGTTGGAGGGCTGATGCTTCGCCCCTTACTGCCAGGATAGGAAGAATCAGGCTGCTCGTCTCCAACATCACAAAAGCAACCTTATAGCAGGGGAAAGTGGGGAGGTTAGTGGATAAGAAAGGTGGGGGAATGGAGAAGCCTGGAAATGAGCTATGCAGAGGCCTCTTCAACTTTCTTTCCTCCCTCTCTGAAGCACCCCCTGACTGGACAGGCAAACCTGACTGCTGAAAAATGCGTGGTGGAAAGGTGGAGAGGCTAAGATGGCATCTTCCACTCTTCCCAGCCTGCACAGGATGCTCATCAGCCTCAGCGTTTCAGGACTTAAAATAGTTGAGCATCGCACCCTAAAGTCTTTGAGTGGGTCTTCTACGCAGGACATTTTCCTCTGAGGACATCAGCGCTCTCAATGATGGGCTGCACCTTGCTTTGGATTGCCACAGGAAAATGGCCATTCAGTATTGACTGCCTTGTAATATGCATTATTAGAAGACAAGAGAGCTGCCTGCAGAACGCCCACCTCCTTCGCTCTTAACTCCCATTTTTTCCTGTGTAGGAGCATGATCTGCAAACTCAAACTGCAGGGTTGTTCAAGTGTCCTGTAATCTGTTCTCTAATTTGTACTATTTCAGCCTGAAACTTCAAAACTTAGTTGCTCTTGTTATGTGGATAAGTTCTGTTCCCACACTAGCAAGATCTACGCCTCCCTCCTGCCCACACTTCTGTTCTATTCATTAAAAAATGCTAGTAGTTGTGTATTTACTCCTAAGCATCCTTAAATCTCTATTAGGCTGGGTCCTCATGTTGTCCCATTGGTAGGAATTGCTGCTTCATTCCAGGGCACTTCCCCAGACAAGTAGATCCGGGCCTTACAAAACCATTTTATGTTTTAGAATTATAAAACATTGAGAGAAAAATTTTCTATTGTGGTTAAAGGGAGGGGCAGGGTGGCAGAAGAAATCTGGGTAGGTGAATTCATTTGCAATATGGAAGAAGTATACTATGACTCTGGTGTTCTGTTTGTTTGTTTTAGTTTTAGCAGAGGGTGGATAACCTGTATTCTTAGGGCTATATGTGCCTCTTAGTTTAATTTAATGGGTTCCTTGGACTAATTTCAAAGGCCCTCTGCATGCAGTCATTTCAGCCACCAGGCCTTCCCTATTCTGTTGAGTGGGGGGACGAGGGAGAGAAGGGGTGGCTTTTGCCTCTGGACCTGCCTCCTTCCAACTTTGGCTCCAGTTATAGCAATCATCTCCTTCATGGATCACTGCCTTGTCATGGCAAAGGGGCTTGTGTAGCTCAATGAGGCTATGAGCTATGCCATGCAAGGTCACCCAAGCCGGACAGGTCATAGCAGAGAGCTCTGACAAAACGTGATCCACTGGAGAAGGAAATGGCAGCCCACTCCAGTATCTTTGCCATGAAAACCACATGGACAGTACCAAAAAGCAAAAAGATACGACGCCGGAAG